ACCTCATTAAAAGAAGCATCATGAAGAATCATCCCGTGCATGTCAATTATTAATTTAGGTCAAGCGGAACTAATTAATTTGCCACACTTCTGATGATAATGACAAATGCCAATAGCAGAAATATAAAGTGACCGAAGGTGCACAGATACGATATTTTAAGAAATGACATTTCGATATGATGTATCATCACTAAGGGTATTTGATTTGCGCATCTTCAATGATCATATATGAATATGATATAGTTCTGGCATTATACACATATTATGCCCTCAGTAATGATATATAAATATAGTATCCTCATTAGTGATATACAATATCATCACCAAAGATACCATATTTGCCACATTATTGATATAATATCCATTTATCGTTACAGGGATGCTATATCCATATGTCATAATTGAAACCGCATAAATACAGCCTTTTAGATTATGATATCACATATAATAGCTGAAAGTACAAGGTTTATCCAATATTATTTAAGATGAAACAGAAAACATCGATACACATTATATGTATCCTGTGTATTTATATATCATTCCTGAAGATGTATGGCTATGCTATTCTACTGATGATATATAATATTCTCAATAGTGATAAATAAATGTGGTATTTTTAGAGGTGACATCGTATATAATAACTAAGGATATCAGCTTAATCTATCAGTATTTAAAATGTATCATCTAAATATTGCAACACAGGATCTTATATCTGCATATCGTTTCTGAAGATGTCCAGATATGAGTTTCTGAGAGACGATATATAGATATCGTATCGTCAGAAATGTAAAATTACAGTATCCTCAATTACGATATGCTATACGAAGTAGGCGACCAGGATTCACGGTTTAACGAATGGTTCAGTACAGCAATGAAACATGACCACGTCGACGACTTCGCGTAAATCGAGGCAAATTGCGCGTTTCTGCAGGGTAAGCAAATCGGTACGAATTCTTCGCCTTCGATTGCATGCCTATTATATGGCGATATGCATACGGTGCGTTACGTGGAGGCAAGTAGAGTGCATCATGCATTCACACGAACATTGCAGATAGAGCTGTCAAAAGAATCAACCGAAAATTTCTACATTTTCTTAAAAGGGGAACCCAGGGACCAACTGTTAGACAAATGATTGAACTGCATTGAGAAGTCACAGCTGCGATGGCTTGGGCATGTGTTGCGAAGCCTCCAGAAAGGAAGGCTAAGCAACTGTTCCTTGCAAATCCGACCGGCAGAAGGCCCAGGTGACGGCCAAGATTAACCTGGTGCAAATATATGGAAGGAGTCTGATCGAGATTCCATTTGTCTTTTGCGAAGCTCAGAGTCTGCCACAGGATCGGGAACGTTGGAAGTTCTATCTGACGTGTCTGCTTCCGCGACCCGAGGTCATGGAAGATGACGATGGCTGAACTGCTTCAGTTACTTAAACCAAAAATTACGGTAGAAACGCCCGTTCGGTCGAGTTCACACCAGGAACAGGACAAAAACGGTTTTCAATAAGTACATGTTTATAGCTTCAGTTCCAGTATAGCATAACTCTAATTTATTTATGACCTTTCGTAACATATTATCAAAGTGAAATATGCTCGAAAAATCTCTGATAATGGACAACGCCATTGTTGTCAACGAGCAAACAGTGAGTGAATTTTCTGCCCATGTATTTTCTTTGCACCCGTAATTACAGTAGCTAATGACCATCTGCATATTAAAATTGATCTTCGAACATGGCTGTTGAATTGGTACAGATTTGGGAATGCTTTCATAGGGGTATGGACGCAACTGATTTACGGTTCATTCCTTAGTGGCAATACCGCGGTTCCGCCGGATTATTTCAAGCCAAGCCTGTCGCCATATCTAAACTTCAGTTTTTAATGCATGTTCAAGTTTACTTCATGACTTCCATTCCACTGAAATTGAAACTTAGGCTCAAGACGAGTTAATTTGAAGTTATGCTGTAATGGGGCTGATTATAACTCATGTGTGGTGAGGTGAGGTGTGGTGAGGTATATACTACATATCAGTGACGTTTCTTTTGTTCTTCCTCCTGCCAGAGTGACGTGTCATCACTCAAGCGTCAAGTGACTCGTACTTCGATTTCTTGTATTTGCCTCCTGTAGTTGCTTATAGCCGTAAACAGCGGTTTCAGCTCGTAGACGGTCGAGAAACGAACGTCATGGCTCGATGGCTTGCTTCCGCTGTCGTTTCGCTGATGTGCAGTGCTGACCGCGGTGGTGTTTGAAAGCGTTCGCTAAGTGCACTAACCTCGACAGAAGCGCGGAAAGTGAGTTCGCTTGTTCGTCGTTCGTCGGTCACGTGAGTGACGAAAGTCCAGAAGCTTCCTCGACGAGGGACCGAGCGAGTGACTGGCCGAGTGGGCGAGTGACGAAATCGAGCACAGACAGATCTTGAACGGAATCAAGGCTCAGAAGGCGCCAATGGCAGTCGAGGTTTGCGAATTGCACTTATCAGATGAGAGTTTCTTCTTTCGCCTGATCGACGATACAAGTGCCAGAGGAAGACGACGCATTTCAATTTAAACTATTTGCTGTGCTTACACATTTTCCGGCCAACAGCAGCAGCAGCCGTAAATACAGCAGGCCATGACCTGCTGGCAGCTACGATTTCGG